CCCCCCCCCTCCGCCCTTGAAACCCACCTTCCCAGGATCTCCTCCACTGATTTTCCATCAACTTCGACCACTTTCCAGGCTACAAGTTTTTACGTCTAATTTAATCAAGAGCGACATGAGAATGGAAAAGAAGGTTAAATTTGTAAAAGAGAAAAGAAAGACGCTTCATTTCCGATATAACGTATTTATACCAAACAAATCAACCAAAAAAGTTAATCCCTCAGGGCAAAATAAATAATTGTGGGTATGTGTGCGTGTGTGGGAAGGCGGGGGTGGGGAGGGGGAAGACGGATCAAGCGCATATCACATTATAATCATTTAGAATGAACATTACAGTACGGAATATGAATGGGTAGTTGGCTGGTGCTCTGGTGTGGATCGCGCTTTCTTTCCTTTAATAGCTTACCCCTATCGTCCTCACCCCTCTTCCTTTCCTTTGTACGTTACTATCTAGTAAAAACCTTAATCTTCAGCACTAAAATGACGTAATTGAGTTGCAAGTGCGGTAAAATTCTAACTTTAAAAAACTATAAGAATACGAATATATTGAAAGAGGTAAAGAAAAAAACATGAGGAAAAACACGAAGAACAAGAAAATGATAACTTACCGTCTACACTGATGTAAATAGCCGCTTTCCTATTCCTTGACATGCACGTGAAGTTCAGTATTATTACACGTTGTAAGTAACTAGTGTTGTTTACATCTGACCTATTTATCTTAAAAAGTCTTGCTTCAACTCTTGCGAACAGCTCTCACTTTCTTGTACCGAAGCAGTGTTCTTCTGAATCCATAGCCCTCCTCCTCCTCCTCTTACTCCTGGCGTAAGGGGCCAGTTTCTTGCTGGGCCCAAAATACAACGCGATCCCCCACCGAAATCGTGATCCCAGCTTTGCCATAAAAGAGGAGCAATGTAACGGTAGTTAATTTTGTCAGTGATGAACTCAGTGTGTAGCGAACTCTTCAGCCAGGTGAAAAAGCGAGCAGGAAAGAGAAAACAAGGATATTTTGAGAACATGAAAATCAACTTCGGACTGACCGAAGGGGAATACATGTCGGAAGTGTTTCTGTGGGGG